ATTAGACCCGTTCATAATCACCGTAGCAATTTATTGACACTTGTTTATGTAGATGTCGCCTATTTTGTTTCATGTAGTTAGTAGAAGATTGTTTAGTATCCTGTAAATGTATTAAATGAGTTTATAAAATCGCTCTTTCAATATTTTAGAGTCATCTCACTTTTATCATTTATTTAATGTTTCATGTAATGAGCAACTATAAAATGGTCAAATCTTCTCCTACACTTGAGTGATACAACATCTTGTTTGGTACAAACTAATTTTTGTTTGTTTGGTGGATTGGATTAATGGATTGATTCAAAAGGATTGGTGGATTGGATTCATGGATTCAAGTGAAATCTAAACATTGGACCAATATATAAATTTAAAAAAACAGTAGGTATGAGCCGGGCAGTAAGACAGTGGTCCAGCGGTACAAGGACTGCAAGTGAAGGCAGATTACGATGGTCTCTTTGTATTAGTTATGTGTGGCGTGAGCGTTGCAGCAGAACTCATGATGTTGTTATTTGCCCCCCCCCCCCCCCCCCCAAGTAAGCTAGTTGAAAGGTAAAAAAAATAGTAGGTACAAAAAACTCATAAAATTTAGATATCAAAATATAATTGTTCAATGATTTTGCATTAAAATTAAATTTGGGGTATCAAAATGTAAAATATACATTATAGTGACTAAGTTGTAATTTAATGAAATTTGGAGTATCAAACGATAAAATATACAGCGACCCAATCAGCTTGCAAATTTAGGCAACAGTAAGTGAACTTCTTCTTTATATATATTCATATTATCGCAAAATGTTGACGTTGATTGAATTTATTTATGAGATATTATTTGAGTAAGTAAAGGAGAATGAAGAAGAGTTTAGGAGGATAAACATAATCCTTAAGCGATATGAACGCTCTCAATAGTGAAGTGAGATGATGTAGAGCATACTTGTGGCACAGTCAGTTGGGTTAGATGCATATACTTAAACTGTCAAACATGAATCAAACATCATTTTTCTTGTCGCGTTGGGGTAAACCTAGTCAACAAATTATTTAGGTTGAATTTTCCTGATAAAATATTGTTTCAAGACTTAGTTCACCTAAAAAACATAGTCTATAACTAGATTTTTTAATCATCAAATTTTAAGCGATGATATTTGTTTAATACGATGATATAAACTATATTTATAACAAATCATTCTCTCGTAAATTTTTCCTTCTAAAATTGTAACGGTTAACATGCAAGTTTCATAAAAATTTGTAATACAAGCAAATAATAAATGATTTTTATCGTACAATTAAAGATTGTGATCATATTGAAAATGACATTATTGATTTGTGATTAGTAGTCCTCATCCTTGAACATACAAACTCCCTGATTGTTCTCTCATCTTATTCTAAACCCCGATTTCGTCACTAGTGCACAATTCAGCCCTGATTAGTACCACATTCAGAGTGGTCAAAATATCGAGTGAGAAGACTACCAGTGAGTTGGGCACAAAAAAAGAACATTAAAAAAGTGAAAGAAGCAAGGAATGAAGAAGACAAGGGTGGTCGGTCAAAGTCGTCGGAGAAAAGACTTGAGAAATTGTAAGTCTTCCCCTCTGTTCGTTTCAATTCCTCTTCCAAATAGATGTACATCAGTACTTTATTTTTTTTATGTATATCTGTATAATAAGTTGGTTTTCAATTTTTAATGGTTCGTTTCAATTCCTCTTCCAAATAGATGTACATCAGTACTTTATTTTTTTATGTATATCTATATAATAAGTTGGTTTTCAATTTTCAAATTTCATACTCAAGCTCAGCTTGTGTCTAACTGGCGATCAATGTTGCATCCTTTATAGACCCGTAGCCAGCGGAGATCCAGGACATAATAGAGCATTGGACTGCATCTGAATAAAGTACTTGACATAGTATAGTTTTCATTACAATGTCAACTGTACATGACGGTCTTTTAATTCATCAAATAATAGGCCGCATCCATCCCTGTTTCCACTAGCTTCCCTAGTAATTTTGCAAGGGAAGAAACTTCATATTCCTGACTATGAACCACATGAGCTACATAATATCGTAGATAATTCTTCAAAGAATGCATCTAATAGACTTCAAAGTCTCGATGATAAACTATGAAACAAGTTAAATATTTTCTTTATCAATAGATCGAAAATAACTTTTAAGATCTAACTTTTAAGATCTAGTGCACCACTCGTTCTAACACATAAGTGTGAGATTTAGTTTAGAGGTTTTTTTTTTTATTTCGATGAAATTTTACACTTTTAGTCTTTTACATATAAGACTTTTAGGTTTCATTGTGTATTTATTCTTTCCAAATGAAAATTATAAGTAGGCTGGCTATTTGGTCCTGGACTGTTTGGTTTTACCCGAAACCGGACTGTATAACCCGGATCGGGATCGGGATCGGACTAGGACCGGATAGCAAACAATGCAATCTCATATTCGAGCTTAGATTTGAGGTAAAAAACCCGGATAAAGACCGGATAAGAGACCCCCAACACCTAAAATCAAGATCAAATTGGGACCGAACCGGGTCAAGACCGGACTAGAATCCGCCACTGCCCCTAGATCCGCCACTGCCCGTAGCATCATGTTGTCTGCAAAAATCAAAGTAACAAAACCGGCACATTTTAAAGTTTGCCCTTATAGAGAGTGGTTCAATGGACATTAGCATCAACCATTCGCACGGTCGGGATTCAGTTTATCATAAATTCTTAGCCAAAAATTTTACTCTTCTTTGCTCTCTTAGAACTTGAATGAATCACTTGATAAGGCTGGTGGAAGGGTCTATTAGAGACCTAATTGTCAAGATTAGGTAGTAATTGGAGGAAGTTTCCTGATTCATGATATCCTGATTAAATTATGGATTAATTAGCTTTTCATGTCTTTGTTAACAAATGATACGTAATTATAGGGAAAAACTTGCCTCTTGCGGTCTTGCCATATCATGTCTCTTTCACCACATTGTTACAAAATCCCTATTGAAAGAAAGACTTCTCCATGCCCCTCAATCATATTCATAGTTGATCAATTTGGCTTACATTTTTTTTTTCAAACTAGAGGAATTTTGATAATAAAACAATCTAGCTAGCTGGTCCTAGTGTTTTTTTTTATATTATAAAATTGATGGAATTAACAATATTCAAGAAACATCACTACAAGTCTACAATATAAGCTAGCTGGCCCCTCTCATTTGTTGTCACCCAATCCCAGATGCAATTATCTATCTATCTATCCATATTTTGACAACAAAATTCTGATTACGCTAAGTTGAATCTAATTTCCTTTGTATTATTATTATTTTTCTTCCAAATAATTTAGTTGGAAAAGTAATTTCAAGTTTAGACATAACATAATTATTATTCAAAAATTTATATTAGTCGTTTATCACGATACACAGATTGAACAGAATTAAATTTACCATAATCTAATTTACGTTCGTCACTTCGTCTCATAGAATAAAAATATAATCGAAAAATCACATCTCATTATAAAACAAAGAATTTTCCATCGAACACGTATTGTATTTGAATAATGCAATTTTTATTGTATTTGAATAATGCAATTTTTATTCAAATACCATCTAATCGGGACGGGATACGGTGACAACCCCCTTAGGGGTTGTCAGATTCACAATCAAGGGTATTTTGGGTATGAAAAAAGGAATATATTAATTACCTTTTGTGTATTAATTATATTTGACTTAAAAACCCATATTAAATATAATTTTTTTTTTAAATTTAAATCCTATACATTAATATCTCTATCTATCTCTCTCTCTTCCTTTCTCCAACAGCCACTCCGCATCGACGGACAAACTTTTTCTCCGGCGAATTCTCTCCGACAGACTCCCTCCGACAACCTGAAAAAATGTACCAGTGCGTTAAAAAGTGTACAAATCCATTAGTCTACTGGTAATTAATATACCAATGCTAGTGGTACGCTACGAGTGCGTTAAAAAATGTACCAGTACTAGTGGTACGCTACCAGTACAGCGATACCACTAGCATTGGTAGCGGTACCAGTAGAGAATAACACAAAAAAACAGATGATAGTGGTACGCTACCACTACCAGCTACCTTATGGTAGTGGTAGGTACCACTATCACTGGTACGCTACCAGAAGAAAAATGGTACCACTAAAAAACCAAATCTAGAAAAGGGGAGTCGGTGACGGGAGAGAGAGGTAGGGGAAGACGGTGACCTCGCGACGGCGGCAGTGGTGGGGGACGAAGGGCGGCGAGAGGGCTCCGACGGGGAGAGGATGATTGTGCCGCGGTGGTGGGAGGCGGACGTTGCGACGGGCCGGCGGGAGAGATTTGCAACAACAGGGTGTGGAGGGAGGCTGAGGATGGCGGAGACAACGACGGTGGAAGGTTCGACAAGTGGCTGCAGGAGACAAGGGCGTCGGCGGTGGAGGGCTGTGGCGGCGGAGGGCTCTGCGAGAGAGAGGGAGGAGAGACGGTGATGGCTACGGGAGAGAGGGAGGAGAGAGAGAGGGAGGATGGAGGAGTTAGGGTTTTTTTATATATGGTAGGGTGAATGATTGGGTGTGGTAAGTTTTTACCCTTCCAAAAATACCCTTTCTTTAATCTTAACCATTAAAAAAAGAGACAGGAGAGAGCATATCCAAGGACTATGAAGTGGGTTGTGAATCAGGTTGTCACCGTATCCCGTCCCCATCTAATCTCTCTCTCAATCCAAATAAATGCTTGATTAGCCAGGTTTCACTAAAGCAAGAACTTACACTTGAGGGTAATTACTAATTTCAACATATACCAAGTGTAGTTTGGACTTGAGATTTTATTCTCTCTTTCCAATTTCCATAAACGGAAAAAATTTCAATTTCCACTCATTTAGCCACGACCGGTCTCGCTCTATAAAATGCTCTGCCCCCTTCTTCCCTTTCTCCGCCGGTCACCACCATTAGCAACCAAACACCCAACCAACACACACATTAGCCACACTTTTCTTCTTCATCGCTGTAAATCCATCTACCTTGCGATGGCGCATCTTGTTGCTCACTTAGCCTTGAAGCTCATGATCATACTCCTACTCTTCTTCCCAATAGACCAATCCAACGGCTGTTTGGACGACGAGAAAGTCGCACTTCTCCACCTCAAATCCTCCTTCAATTCAACCGCTCAAGAGGAACTCAACCACCCAACAACGGAAGATTGCTGCTCCTGGCAAGGAATTCAATGCAGCCAAACCACCGGCAGAGTCATCTCCATCGACCTCTTCCAGCTCTTCGATTTCCAGATCCCAGAAACAGAGTCCAGGTGCCTCAACACCACTCTGTTTCTCCCCTTTCCGCAGCTCGCCAGCCTCTCTCTTCCTCACGGCAGTCTGGTCGATTGCCCCGAAAAAAACCACGGTACGTACTGTATTGCTCAGCGAGTTATTGGGACGAACTGATTTTTACACAGCTCAAATTATGATGTGTATTGTTTGTGCTGTCACAGGTTTGGAAGGGCTATCGGTACTTCCCCATCTGGAGATCTTGGATTTGAGCTTCAACAAGTTCACTGGCAGCATCCTTTCCTCCATAGGAGCCCTTCCTTCATTGAGGACATTGAGGTTGCGCGGCAATGGCATGGACGGTGTCGATAATCTCCGAGGTAGCCTCCGTCCCGATGTATGTTATCAACATTATTTCGTTGGTAGAGGTTCATGTATGGTACTTACCACTTCTTTACATCACAGAGTTTTGAATTACGCATTTTGATCTGCGATTTCCAGGATTATGCAGTTTGAAGCAGCTTCGAGTTCTGGATCTATGGAACAACCACTTCGCCGGAGAACTGCCGGAATGTTTGTCCAATTTGACATCTCTACAAATTTTGGACCTTTCAGACAATCGTTTCACCGGAGACATTTCTCTGTCCCCATTGGGAAGCCTTATGTCGATTTCAGAATTGCGGCTCACCTACAATTCGTTCAAGATTCCTTTCTCACTGTCCCCATTTTCCAACCTCTCCAAGCTCAAAACCCTCTACGCCGACCACAACCAAGTTATCTACAGCGATGAAGGAGAGAAGAATTCTGCAAAATTCGTCTCTGCCCCAAGCTTCCAGCTGCAGACTCTGTACCTCTCTGCCACCGAGGGATACGGTGGTGACAACTTCCCTGCATTTCTCCACCATCAGCGGGAGCTGCAAGTGCTACACATCTCGAACGTTCGGATTGCGAACGATGGGTTTCCAGCCTGGCTGCTTCGGAACAATTCCAGGTTAAGAGAGCTCAACCTCGTCAATGATTCGCTCTCCGGCGGACTAGAGTTTCAGCCGCATTGGAACCTGACCCAGTTGGACATCTCCGACAACGACTTGGAAGGTCCGATTCCGAGCAATGTCTCGAATTTCCTACCCAATTTGTCCTCGTTAGTCATGTCGAACAACGATTTCGATGGCGCGATTCCGCCATTCGAGAGCGGGAAGCTGATGTACTTGGATCTGTCAAACAACAAACTATCTGGTACGTTACCGGGGACATTAGCCAAGGGGTGTCCTTTGCTAAGGACGCTTGTACTTTCAGGAAACAAATTGGATGGCAGACTATTGGATTTTGAGTTGCAGAGTTTGAAGACATTGAGATTGGATCACAATCAATTTCAGGGGAGCATTCCAATTGGGTTGTCTAGGAGCCCTGCTTTGAACTTCTTGGATGTCAGCAACAACGATCTCTCCGGTACGATCCCTTCGTGGCTGTCGACGATGCCATCGCTCGACGTTCTGGACCTCTCGGGCAACGATCTCGTCGGAGAGCTGCCTAGAGGGCTCCCTTCTCCCTGGATGACACAGGTTTATCTATCGAAGAATCGTCTCGTAGGACAGTTTCGGATTGATTCGATCAGCGACGAATATCGACTGTTGATACTGGATGTCAGTCACAATCGACTGTCCGGACCGGTTCCTAGGCAGATTGACAAAATGTATCGATTGAGGTACATTCTGCTAAACAACAATAGCTTCCAGGGGGAAATGCCGATTGGAATGTGCAAGTTGGAGCATTTGAGGCTCATCGATCTATCGAGCAATGGCTTCTCTGGAGACATACTCCCCTGCATCAAGACTCACGCACACTGGTCACGGTTGGAAGGAGATGATGAGATTGGATTCCTGGGAGCAGCGACGCCAGCAATCGAACCGATGGAGATTACGACGAAAGCATTTCCTTACTCTTACCAGGGCCGGAACCTCCTCCTGATGTCAGGCATCAACCTGTCTGACAACAACTTTACTGGTGAGATTCCCGAAGAATTCGGGAACCTCACCAGCATCAAACTCCTGAACCTGTCACACAATGCACTCACCGGGTCGATTCCGTCGACATTCTCTAAATTTGAGCAGATCGAGAGTTTGGATCTCTGTTACAACAATCTGACGGGGTCGATCCCCGCACAGCTGGTGGATCTTAACTCTCTGGCTGTTTTTAGCGTGGCGTACAACAATCTGTCTGGGAGGACCCCGGAGAGGGTTGCACAATTCGCGACTTTTAACGAGAATTGCTACGACGGGAACCCTTTTCTCTGTGGATGGCCTCTCCCGAAGAAATGTACTCCGGGATCCCCGCCGCAGCCATCATTGCCGACGGAGGATGGGGACGACGTCGACGGTGGTGAGGTGATCGATACCGAGGTTTTCGTGTCGAGTTTTACCGTGTCGTTCGGGATGGTGTTGGCCGCGATCGCGACTGTTCTGTACATAAATCCGAACTGGAGGAGGAGGTGGTTTTACTATGTGGAAATGGTGATGGAGGGTTGCTATTACTTCATGGTGGATCATCTTCCGGTGCCGGAGAAGTACAAAGTTTTGGATCCCTCTTCTGGACGGCTGTCATGGCAGTAGGCTAGTGGATTGTGGATTTGTGGTAGGCTTTTTTTAGCATGGTGGGAATTCACTTGTAAAATTGTTTGATTGAGTTGTAGTAATAGTAATTCTAGGTTTCTTGGCATAGTAATGGGTAAATTTGCCCTTACAGAATTGAATTGGTACATTGGTTTGTAAAATTGTTAGGTTTGGTGTACTAATGAGTTGTGACAATGTTACTCAAAATAAGCATGAATGTGAATTACGCCAGGGTTGTTTGAACAAGGAATTTTGATGAGTTGAGATCGGACAACACGAGAGTTTGTATCGATCGGTTTGAGTTAGTTTAAAAGCGTTAATAATCTGTCATGACACAAAGTTGATCCAGTGGCTCATTGTTTGTAATCTGCTAGTAAATCTTGAAAAAAATTGCTAGTAGCCAAAGGAGAGTATTGAATCTAGATTCTGCTTACGTATAATTTGTATGGAATCTAGAAAGAATCTGACATTTTTATTTTTGTATTTGGTCTGCAGTTGTTTACTTGCTTTCCAAGATTCCGGTAGCTCATTGAGTTTAGTTCTTGGAATTTTGTTGATGCAGTCATTTCACAGAACAAAAAACAGTTTAAAAATGAACATCACATTAACCTCATTTCCTCTAACACAAGTTAAACCTTCCATTTCTTGACAAACAAGTAACATTTTCTTGCAGACATGAACCATAAATGATCTAGAAATCAAAAATCAAAGCGAAAAGGTACAAGTAACACTCTTAACAGCTCGTAAGAAACAGAATCAAGCCGATCAGCAATGGCTACCATTACAGTAGTACAGATCACCACCCGTCGCTAATTGCAGGGGCGGCAGCGGGAGAGGGAGAGGGAGCACAAGCGATCAGCAATGGCTGCCCGCACAACCCAGGGTTTCCTACAAAACCCGAAGCCGGAAAATTGTAGAATCCTCGGGGAATCGTTCCCGCCAACTGATTCCTCGACACATTGAACTCCCTCAAGCTGGTGAAGCTCATCTCTCCGGGTATCTTCCCGCTAATCTGATTGTTCTGTGCAAAAAATGCAGTAACGTTCGACATCGTCCCGAACCCACTCGGAATTGGCCCGACGAGCCGGTTATTCGAGACATCGACCCACTCCAGGTTGGTTAAAGAGGAGATCGAACCGGGCAGGAGGCCTTGGAGCCGGTTTCCTCCGAGCATCAGGTGGGTCAGGCTGGTGCAGTTGGCCACCTCGGAAGGAATCGGCCCGGAGATTTCGTTGTCTGTGAGGTCCAGTCTCCTGAGAGACTGGATCCTGCACAGGGGTTTGAAGTCCAGAGTTCCCGCGAGGTCGAGCTTGGGCAAGCCCACGACCACGACTCGACCATCCGAGTCGCACAGGACCCCTGCCCATTCCCTGCAGGGGTCCGAGGTGTCGTTCCAGCCCCAGTTGGAGTGGGGCGGGAATGTCTCCGAGAGGGATTCCATGAACTGAAGGAGTGATATCCTTGTGGCGTAGGATTCTGAAGTGGAGGGTTGTGGTAAGGTTAGGAAGAGGAGGAGAAGGGATGAGATTAGGAGGGCTGACTTGTGGATGTTTTGGGCCATGTTTTTTTTTTTTTTTTTTGTTAGGGAAGAGTTGAGGTTTTGGGTTGTGTTTGAAGGTTTGTGGTATTATTTTGCCTATTTATATATGGTGGTGAGAAGTAAATGGTGGGCTGAGACTTCAATGGCGTCAGGGAGAGAATCCAAGAGGAAGAAGACAATGGAGGAGGAAGTCTCGATGTTAAGAACAAGGTAACTGGATAAGGACGTTTGCTTGTGACCAGGGAATTACTATACTGGACAAGGAGATGGTTCTGAAAATTGGAGGGGAAGTAACAACAATGTACTTGGGCTTCGAATTTTAAATATTTCTTTGATAATTTGTTGAGTAGATACACTCATTAACTTCTAAATATGATATCTGGCTGAAATTATCAATATAACAAACACATTAACATCTGTATTATCACCTTTAAGCAATTCGATTGTGTTGTACGTTGTTTAATGACTGTATATTGAGACCAAGATTTAGGGGTGGGCAACGGGAAACGGGTATATGGGTATACCCGTACCCAATGCAGTCAAAAGCGCGATTCTACCTAGAAGCGGAAAAGGGGTAAAATCGTAAAACGTAGAATCAAAGCGTAAAAGCGTAAGTTTTTGACGCATACTGAAAATAACTAAAAATCTATTAAGTAGGACATATGCTATGCAAAATATGAATGCACAGAATTTAGATAAGTTAATAAATGCATGTGATTCATGTTTAAAGTAGAGCAACTTATAGCATCTTAATAATAAGTTCGTAAACATAAATTTTAACGATAAGCCACTTTTCCCTCTATGCTAATGAATTTGGGAAAACCCTAGTTGGTGAATTAGATTACTCTATTGAAGTAGAATGCATCCAAGTACCTAGTATGTATCTTTTAATCTCAAATGTATCATATTGTTAGTGATTTACTTTAAAAATATACTTGTTATAATTAATTTCATGAAAAGAATACTCATGTAGCGAACTAAAAGCGTAAAAACGTAAAGCGTTTTGGTGAACTAGAACCGTAAAACCGTAAGTTTTTAAGTTTTAAAGCGCAATTTAGTCCGATTTTATACACTTAAGTTTTTATATGTAAACGAAAGCGTTTTGGTGACCCAAAAGCGTAAAATAATAAGTTTTTAAGTTTTAAAGCGTGATTTTGACTCCATTGCCCGTACCCGTCCCTTTTTTTTAGGGTTACGGGTACCCAAATACCCATAATTTATTTTACGGGATGGGACTTGGGATCAAGAATCGCTACTTTGGGTACCCGCGGATTACCCATTAATACCCGTTTGGGTATTACGGGTACCCATTATACCCATTAATCCAAAATCCTAAAATCCAATCCCATGACACAAGCAATCAAAACCTATGTAACCTAATCAACAATACAATAAATTGCACCGGAGATCGCATAAATTGTCTCAGCCACTAGTCTTATATCATACTCATCCACTGTTTTCTTCCTTGAGCTACTGTCTGTGTCCTTTACTTGTGTTTGTGAGGAAGACACTGATGGACTTGGCTCAAGAATCTTACTTCAGTTTCAACAATAGAGAACATGGGCCAACGTGGTCATTTCTATTACATGGCCACAAGGACTCGATGGCACCAGTGTGAAGACAGGATCCATGTTTTCTAGAGCTTCGATTGACGGGTATTTATGGGTAATATGGGTACCCGTTATCCGTCCGTACGGGTTTGGGACATGGGATAGAGATTGCTTTTCAAATGGGACTGGGTACCCATTTCAAACGGGACGGATATCCCGTCCCGTTGCCCACCCCTACCAAGGTTTGGGAATTGGGATAGATTAAGGGTCGAAGCCAGTGTTTGCTAAACAATATCGTACCATCGTGATGTAATTATCGCATAGGCGGCAAAGGGTCAAGATCCATAAGTTCAATTCAATATTAACCTTAACATGTATTGTTATGAACACCAATCAAAAAGACAGATCATAGGTAATAGCATCCATTTCTATGAAAAAGCAAAGGACCATTTTAAGTGTTCCATGCGAAGATCTCTGCCCTTTCTCACGAGCTTTATCAAACCCATAAACTAGTATTGGATCTCTTCAAACTAGCTAAGTACTGCATTTGGAGTACTAGAAAATTTCAAGTTGTTAACCATCTTCAAACTGGGTTGACATACGATTACAAGTAATTAGGGGGCACCAATACACAGAGAAGACTTGGCCCACTTCCATCATAATGCAGTGAAATGGCAACAGCACAGATAAGGTGTCGACAGCAAACACAGTCTGCTCTGTGCTCATAACGACACCAACAATCGCAAACATCACAATAAAGTAAGTAGGAATCCACCACAGACACAAAAGGTAACAATTCCGACCATCAATTATTCAACAAAGAAACAAAACCCAGCAGACATAATTGTTCAAAGGCCATTACCATGACCAAACATAGTACTTGAGGATAAAAAGAGAACATGAAACATGGAAACGACCAATCCATAGAAACCAGAAACTTGAACAGTCAAGAAATCATAAACCAGCACCAGATATAGCGAGCCGCCCTTAAAAGCCACCACGGAGACGCAGGACAAGGTGGAGAGTAGATTCCTTCTGGATATTGTAATCCGCCAGAGTCCTTCCATCTTCCAATTGTTTCCCAGCAAAGATCAGCCTCTGCTGGTCCGGAGGGATACCTTCCTTATCCTGAATCTTGGCCTTCACATTATCAATGGTATCACTGCTCTCTACCTCCAGGGTAATTGTCTTCCCAGTCAGGGTCTTGACGAAGATCTGCATGCCTCCCCTCAATCGCAGGACAAGGTGAAGGGTAGACTCCTTCTGAATGTTGTAATCAGCTAGAGTCCTGCCATCTTCAAGCTGCTTCCCTGCGAAAATCAGCCTCTGCTGATCTGGGGGAATCCCTTCCTTGTCCTGGATCTTAGCCTTGACATTGTCGATGGTGTCGCTGCTCTCCACTTCCAGGGTAATGGTTTTTCCAGTCAAAGTCTTCACAAAGATCTGCATTCCTCCCCTCAGACGAAGGACCAGATGGAGAGTGGACTCCTTCTGGATGTTGTAATCAGCCAAAGTCCTTCCATCTTCCAGCTGCTTACCTGCAAAGATCAACCTCTGCTGATCGGGAGGAATCCCTTCCTTGTCCTGGATCTTAGCCTTGACGTTGTCAATGGTGTCGCTGCTCTCGACCTCCAAAGTAATAGTCTTTCCAGTCAGGGTCTTGACAAAAATCTGCATACCTCCCCTGAGACGCAGAACCAGATGAAGGGTCGACTCCTTTTGAATATTGTAATCAGCCAAGGTCCTCCCATCCTCGAGCTGCTTTCCAGCAAAGATCAGCCTCTGCTGATCCGGAGGGATCCCTTCCTTGTCCTGGATCTTAGCCTTGACATTATCAATGGTGTCGCTGCTCTCGACCTCCAAAGTAATGGTCTTTCCGGTCAAGGTCTTGACAAAGATCTGCATCTGTTAAACCGCAACCAACGAGGATACCCTAATTCAGCAAATCCCGAACGAAATTTCAACCACACCCGCTAAACCCTAGCTACAAAAAATTCGAGCCTAACTTCCGACCTAACATCGGAGAGATTAAAGATTCAAACATGGCAATCGAATCAACAAGAACGAAGGAACCCTCAATTCTCATAGCCAAGAAATCCCGATTGGCAATCGAATTTGCAGAACAACGAAGACTAGTTCCCAAAACAGATATTCAATCAAGAAATCAAAAGGGGAAACCAGAACGGAAACTTGAGAAGATCGAAGAGAAGAGAAGAGAAGAGAGGATTCGTTACCTTGAGAAGCTGGGAAAACGAAGGTCTGTCAGGCCAGAGAGATTTCGGATTGTTTGGAATGAACCGTGGTGAAGAAACATATTGATTGGGGTTTCAATTTATAGGAACTTGAATTGACCGACTTAGATTCGCAGAACCTATAAAAGCGGACACGTGTGACGATTTTTTTTTTCTTTTACAATAGACACGTGTGAGGTGTGACGACTGAAAGGGTTAAAAGTCTTTATGTAGTCAAGGACTTTTGGTCTCGGTTTGGGCTCTGGATCGTGAAGATGCAGCGTGGGCTTTAAACTACACTCAATGAGTTGAGTTCTTGGATTGTCTCCGAGTCTCCGACCCAATCAGCAATTGAAAATCTCCGCATAGATTAGATATGGGCCAGTCGGCCAGATATGGATAAAACCTGGAAAAAAATTTGATATAGATGGGGTATGGTTTTAGACTCTGTTTTATACACATAAACATAATAATAGTCCCACTACAAGTATGTTTTCGTGGGTTAATTGTCTGATTGGTTAGTGAGATTAAAAAACGTTCATGTTCAGTCACTAGAAATAATTAATTTCATTGGTGGTCATCAGAATTAGGTAAACAGTTCAAATTTGGTTACTCTCCTCCATTAGTCTCCGTCCATCTCCGTTAATACCGTTAGTTTTTTTGCTGACGTGGCTTAACAGAATGATGAGCCACTTAATTTTAATCCTAAAAAAAGAGAAACCTTCCCGCCACATCAGAATAATATCCACTTGAACTCAATAATGACCCAACAAAACCCCTGACCCAGACCCTGTTTCTTCACTGTTCTCTCCCCGAGTTCCCCTTCGCGTCAAGAATCCAACCTTCCCCCTCCTCCATATCCAATATTCAACCCACACCATTACAACGATCTTGGACCTCGAAACCGGCTCTGGCATTCACCGAGTTCCCCTTCGCGTCGACAACCCAACTTCATTTCTAATTTACCCGACCACGACGTATTTGAAATAGGAGAGAGATAACAGGAAATGCTCTTTGAGTTTAAAAATCAGCCAGTCGTCGAATCGGACACCTACCTTCCAGATCCTCTGGTGGGCTGCTCCTTGTTAGCGAGTGACGGCGTCGGATCGTCCCTCAACATCAAAGCAAAGTTTGTCGTTGCGTTGCTTCCTTCCAGATCGAAGTTCAGATATGAACGAAAGGCTGAGCTCGGTGGCGGCGGTAACTGTCAAAGTAGGCGAATCCCGCCTCCTCTTTCTCAGAAAGAACGGAAATGTCGAGCCTGATGGCGGTTCGAATTGTTTCGACGAGCTCGGCTCGGTTGGCAGCCTCCCGGACTACGGATCTGGCGACGCAAAGGGTTTGACGAGGTTGGAAATTGTTTTTTGCCTCACGACGGTCAGATAACAGATCCCTGCCCCATGACCTCGCCGGAGCTCTTCGATTTCCAGGCCTCCAGACGCGAAATGACATTGAACCCAGAGCCGTCGGAAGAAACGACGAGTCCTCGAATTGTCGCCGGGATTGGGCAGCATATCCTGGATTCTGAGGCAACAGATCTATGACTGCTATTGTCGTAGGGATTGGGTGGCCGAGATTGGGTTTGACAAAGTGGCCAAGATTCTCGCCGGGTTGGGTTTGGGAAGAACAGGATCTAGAAATTTGGAGTTCTTTTGGTTTTCTGGGTATTGGTTTCGGGGAAGAAAAATGGACAACAAGTAGAGGGAAGACTGATTTATGATCAGGAAAGGAAAATAGGATAATTTGTTTCTTTTGAGTGGGTCGGTTAATAGACCGGGCTGGTTTAAGGACTGGGTTGGACAAGGTGACATGGCAGGTTTTAATGATGTGGCGGGTCGATTTCATCATTTTCGGGTCAAATTAGCCTGATTAGACGATTCTGTTAGCCATGTCAGCAAATAACATACTTAGTTAACGGAGGCAGACGGAGACTAACGGAGAGTGACCAAATTTGGATTGTTTACCTAATGCTGATGATCATGAATGGAATTTTTTTTGTGACGAAACATGAACCTTTTTAGTAATCATAGTGACCAATGTTGCAATTTACCCATGTTTCCGTATATAAAAGATTTAATGATCATATTTTAATTTCTCAACTGGAGATGTAATTTAAAAAAAAAGTTAGAATGTAATTGAGTAATCACTCAAATCGTAATTTATTTCCCTCAATTCAGCTCTCGCCCTTTGACTTCTTTCTAGAGGTGGCAAATGGATTGATTCATGGATAGTTGGATTATTGGATCCATGGATCAAATGGATTGGTGGATCCATGGATTGGATCAAATGAATTGGTGGATTATCCATGAATCCAAATGACATTTAAATAATTGAATCAATATTTAAAATTTGAAAACTTTAGATACTATTACTTTTGAATAAATTAGGCGCCAAAATGTAACTTTTCCATGATATTTTAGGTTAAAAATTGTTTAATTAATTTTAGTACCGTAGAGTGGAAACGATTCGTTCATATGGACAAACAATCGTCGTCGACGGCGAGAGTCTGCCGGAGGCAGAGGAATGACGGTGAGCATGACGTTGCATTGCAAGGAATCCCGGTGCAGAACCACACCAGCACCAAATCCTCCGGTAGACACCAGAAACTCCCGCCACCGCCTGCTGCCCAAACCCGTCTTTGGACAGGGAGTCGCACCTCGAGCTCCACGGGTTCAATTGAAAAGGAGTGAGGATGAGCAGGAATCCACTCCTCTGCTAGTTACATTGCCTGGAGATAAATGAAGAACAAGTTCATCTTTGAACTTGAAGCAGAAGCGCCCAAATGAAGAAGAAGAACAAGATAGCGTCGTTGAGGCATCGGAGAAGCAACGTTTACAAAACTCACCGTTTTGTGGTGATAAAACGCAGACTTAGGGGTCGTTTGGTTTTGGTGATTGTTTGGTTGGGATAATTACAATGCATGTATAGTCCACAATGAATTGTTTTTTTTTTTTAACTTTCTGCACAAACTATGCATGCATTGTTTGCTTGATGTGATGGAAACTATCACTCAAAATGAGTGATAATAATATCTCAAGTTTTCGGTGTGATTGTTGAGATTGTTTGTTTGAGATTGTTGGAGTGTTTTCTTCTTCCAACTATGTCCCTACCTTTTGATGTATTTTGCTTTTTTATATTAAAAACAAAGGGTAAAAGTGACATTTCACCAAGAAATCAATATATCTTATTTAAATACTAGAATAACTATCACAGAAACCAAACAATGTAAACTACAAGACATCAATTTTCCTATATACATGTATATTAGTATGCATGCATTGATAACAATGTATCTATTTAACTATCACCAAAACCAAACGAACCCTTAGTTTTACTATTTTATAGGACAAGTGTACAGCTTTTATTGGTTAGTTAATTTGCTATTGTAACGGCTAGTGAAAATGTAAATACAACTCTGTATAATTGCTTCTCTGAATGGAAATATCTCACAACGAGCATCTTCCCCAAATCTGCTCTTATCCAAATTCTCTGTTTATCAGAAATCTTCTCATCAATTTTTCACAATTCTCATTTAATTTCGGTGTTCAAGATGCTCGGGAGATCGTATACGTACCCGTGCTCGCAGTGATTCTCCTCGTCGACCACCACGGAGGCGGCTGCAGAGTCGGACCTTGTTGCGACGACTGAAGCAATGACGACTGGTTCTTATACGCGGCGGCGGGATCGGGAGAAGAGCACAGGTTCCTGTCCCAATCAACCAAACATGAGCCCAGGTTTTTTTTGATGCGGCGATGAAAAGCAGGAGTAGGTGCAGCCGCTCGTCTGAGATCTCTGGCGCTGTTTGGGGGTAAGTGGAGACGGCGACGAATGACCGGAGGCGGTGGTGGACGTTGGAGTAGGGTCCTCGACATGTTCTTCAGACCATGATATGATTGTAAATTCCAGGGGCTTTTGTTTTAATTTATGGACACCTTTAGGGGTGTCAGTAGGTCGGTTTCGGTTTAACCGAGCCACCACCTCCCACTGCCGATCACCGTCCATAAGGGACACTATGGTTAGCCGATCACTGAACGGTCATTTATCGATTTTGGTTCGGTTAGCCGCACACCTGAAAAACACTCCCTAATCTCCAAAAAAAATAATTAAAAACAATTAAAAACAACCCAAAAATCCTCCCACCACTTATTCCTTATCTCCTCCATCCTTCTCTCTCCTTCCTTTCTCCATTCAAACCCCCCACCACCACCAGGCATGCCACCTCCTTCCGTCTCTCTCCTTCCTTCTTTCATTTGACCATTTCAGATCTGGACACCACGACCATGGAGGAGAAGCAAAGACAAAGTGGCGGCGGATGTCGGAGAAAGGCGGTTGGCGATTCGAAGAGGAGAAGCAGGGGGTCGCGCACAGGAATGGCGGAGCGGAGGCCCTGGGTCGTTGTCGGGGTAATAGATGGTTTGTTGGATTGACGATGAGGACGACGCGAGATGATGTTGTTGCTGGGCTGGTGGCCTGCTCCGCGACGGGAAGGAGGCGTACGTGACGGCACGACGCTGACCGCGATGGGAAGGAGGCGGACGGCGAGGTGCAGGGAGAGGAGAGGTGGACGGCGAAGCGACGACGGAGGCGAGGTGGACGGCGACGCGGTGGGCGGAGGTGAGGTGGATG